CACATTCCAAAGCAGCTGTTTTCTCCAGGTGAACTAATTTCTGTCACCTGAGGATCAACTGTATTTCCAGCAAGAGAGAATAGATCTACTCCATCTTCTACATGACAGCCTTTCAAATATTTGAAGACTGCAATCATGTCCCCTATAAGCCTTCTCTTTCCCAGGCTAAACATACCCAACTCTTTCAGCTTTTCCTCGTAAGACTTGGATTCCAACCCTCTCACCATTCTAGTTGTCCTCGAGTGTGTCCAGAGGAGGGCAACCAGAATGGTGAGAGGGTTGGAATCTGTCTTACGAGGAAAAGCTGAAAGTGTTGGGAATGTTTCGCCTGGGAAAGAGAAGGCTTAGAGGGGACATGATTGCAGTCTTCAAAAACTTGAAGGGCTGTCATGTAGAAGATGGAGCAGATCTATTCTCTCTTGCTCCGGACTGCAAGACTAGATCTAATGGGTGGAAATTACAAGGGAGTCGATACCGGCTAAATATCAGGAGAAACGTCCTAACTGTAAGAGTGGTTGAGCAGTGGAACAGACTGCCTCAGGAGGTGGTGGATGCTCCTTCGCTGGACGTTTTCAAGTGGAGGCTGGATGATCATCTTTCGGGTATGTTGTAGGGATATCTTTCAGCTATGCTCCTGCAGAGTGTGGGGGGTTTGGACTAGATGACCTGCAAGGTCCCTTCCAACTCTTAACATTCTATGATTCTATGATACTTCCATGCCCAGTCTAGAGGCTGCCGGCCCTATTGGGGCTCCCGCTCACACATCCCAGATCCAACCCAAACGTCTTACGAAAACAAATCTGATGCCTCACCATTATCATGAATACGTTGATCAAGAAAGTCTCTATGTATACCCACCTCCTTTTCTATTGTTCACATTAATATCCCTCCTCCCCATTTTAGCCTCACAACCACCCTGTAAGATACGTTGGGCCAAGAAAGAGCTCACATGAAGCTGTTATTGTCTGCTCAGACTGGCAGCAGCTCTCCAGGTCCTCAGGGGGAGGCCTTTCACATTACCTATTATGTGATCTTTTAACTGGAGATGCCATGGATGGAACCCGGGACTTTCTGTGTGCCAAGCAGATGCTCTACCACTAAGCCGCAGCCCTTCTCCTCCCCTCTTGGCCTAACGTCATACCTGCCACTCCCTCATTAAAGTGGACAATTGAATTTGTAGCCACACAGCAGCAAAATGCCCCAACTCCCTGCCTCATGAATACACTGCCACAGGAAGTGGTGGTGGCTACAAACATAGACAGCTTCAAGAGGGGATTAGATAAACATATGGAGCAGAGGTCCATGAGTAGCTATTAGCCACAAGATATAGACAGAATATTCTGTCTGAGGCAGTGATGCTCTATATTCTTGGTGCTTGGGGGGCCACAGTGGGAGGGCTTCCAGAGTTCTGGCCCCACTGGTGGATCTCCTGATGGCAACCTGGGTTTTGGCCACCGTGTGACCCTGAGTGTTGATGAGCCATTGGCCTGATCCAACATGACTTCTATTATGTTCTAATGTTCTAACCTTTGGAATTCCAGGGTGATCCGAGCCCTCAAAATTTTGTCCGCCCTCGTGTTGCCCAAATCCGGACCTGTATACTCTGGTGTGTTAGGCCCCATAAACCTCACCAAGCAAGGCTTCAAACATAACAGGAGCAAACTTTATTTGAATGAAGGGAATGCCAGCACACAAAGCTGAAATTCAAAGTTCTGGCGCGCTTACAGCCACTTATATACCTTCCTTCCTTCCAGAATATTCCCCCTGCTCATGCCCAGACCGTCTGCATTACATCATTTCATTTCATCTGCCTAGCAACAGGCACTCCACCAACCAATCCCTATCATAACAATATGAACACTGAACTGGTCAACA